TTTGTGGGCTTTCTGGTGCATCATCTTTAGAAGAGGCTTCCTTCTGGGACAACCAATTTGATGCAGTGTGCGGCGTATGGTCTGAACACTGACAGGCTGACCCCCCACCCCTTCAACCTCTGCAGCAATGCTGGTATCACTCATACGTCTATTTCCCAAACACAACCTCTGGATATGACGCTGAGCACGTGCACTCAACTTCTTTGGTCGACCATGGCGAGGCCTGTTCTGAGTGGAACCTGTCCTGTTAAACCGCTGTATGGTCTTGGCCACCGTGCTGCAGCTCAGTTTCAGGGGCTTGACAATCTTCTTATAGCCTACGCCATCTTTATGTAGAGCAACAATTCTTTTTTTCAGATCCTCAGAGAGTTCTTTGCCATGAGGCGCCATGTTGAACTTCCAGTGACCAGTATGAGAGAGTGAGAGCGATAACACCAAATTTAACACACCTGCTCTCCATTCACACCTGAGACCTTGTAACACTAATGAGTCACATGACACCGGGGAGAGATGGCTAATTGGGCCCAATTTGGACATTTTCACTTAGGGGTGCACTCACTTTTGTGGCCAGCGGTTTAGACATTAATGGCTGTGTGTTGAGTTATTTTGAGGGGACAGCAAATTTACACTGTTATACAAGCTGTACACTCACTGTCATTTCACAAGCTGCCATTTCTTCGGTGTTGTCACATGAAAAGATATAAAATATTTACAAAAATGTGAGGGGTGTACTCACTTCTGTGAGATACTGTATATATGATACACCCCTTTGCGTTGATAATGTACCGCAGTGACCCACCTGTCAGGGAACTTGAGCAGGTTTGGTTTGGGCTGCGCGAGCTGCTCTGTCCGTGTAGGCATCACTGCTCATTAAACACAACAGTTTCCAGGAGCCTAGTGTGTTTAGAACACAAACTTGTGCTTTAACAAGTATAAATAGATGAAAACATTCTGAATGTATCTGCATAAACAAGTAATTAAAGAAGGCATTATATAAGAGTGAATGTTGCAAATAGCCTATGAATCCTACGCACTCATTAATTATTTACTAAAGAACTATAAAACAGCGACAGTTCAGACAACGAAAAAGCAAGCAAGTCTTTTTTTTCATTTTTATACTACATATGCAGACTTCTAAAGTCCTTTTCATTAAGAGTCGAATAAATGTGCTTTAAAGGAGCAAGATGCATAGACATAAAACTTAAAAGTGAACAAAAATAAAACCTTGTCCTGGCAACACAAGTCAGCTATTTAGTTACAATCGATCTTAATTATAATATAAATGTATTATATATTCAAATAAATTCAATTCATTGCATGAAATAAAAATTTTGAGGTGTGGCTAATTCTGCTCATGTGGAGAAAAGCACCAAATAAATAACATGTGAAACACTGTGCCAGACCCCTGAGGGCCCCAGCCTGTGAAAGACTCCAACAGGCAGCAGCAGCAGATGGGAGCCGGAGCTGTAGGCTTGCATAATGACCACCAAAGTCAAATGTCAGACTGATAACTGAGCACAAGAGAGGGTTAGCCATGAGGACAATGCTGGAGATTAGAAAAAAAACTAATTCATCAGCGAATAACCCCATCAGCAGCTGTTGTGCTGCTTTCATTCAGATCTCACTGGGGTGTTTGTTATATATAGATGTATCATACTCGCTTCTGATCGGCAGTGCAATGCAGTGTATAATGTTTGTACAATGACCTCTAAACTGGTAACCAATCTCCTACACTGCTCTCTTTTCACATAGTAAAATAATTCCAATTTCTATCAGTATACTTCATGTCTGTTTATCATCGCTTGTGCTTTAATGTGTAAACAGATCAAACATTCTGAATGTATATGTATAAACAAGTAATTAAAGCAAACATTATATAAGAGTGATTGTTATGCAAATATGAATTCCATGCACTTATTAACCATTTACTGCTGTTTTACTATAGAACAGCAACAGAAGCCAACATATAAATAAGTTCACACAACAAAAAAGCAAGCAAGGACTCAAGAATCCTACAGCAATAAATGGTTCTTAAATTAAAGAGGTTTCTTTGCTGTATCATACTGTCATGATATAATTATCACATTATAATAAAGGCATATATATAATTTGTTAGACATAAGTCATTAAGCTAGTTAAACCCTGCTGAATCTTGAAGAACAGGTGTATATCACAGAAAGGCTCTTGAGAACTATACTGTCACTGCAGGGCAAAACCCTGAACATCAGTGTGTTTGAACATGCTCAAGTATGCTAGATGAGCACAAATCACCATACATGCAGACACAAGTTACCACAGTATTTGTATTGCCCAATAATTCAATACCAAGGTGAAATATGACATTTTTTTCTAGATGTAAAATTCACAAACGCATTAAGAAAATACTGCAAAACATCAGTTCACCCCGTGTTTACATAGACATTTGTAATGTTTTGGGATCAGTAAGATTTGTAATGTTTTTGAAAGAAGTCTCTTCTGCTCATCAAGGCTGCATTTATTTGATCAGAAATACGGGGGGAAAAACAGTAATATTGTGAAATATTATTGCAATTTAAAATAATGTTTTTCCATTTTAATATACTTTAAAAGATAGTTTATTCCTGTGATGCAAAGCTGAATTTTCATCAGCATCACTGCAGTCTTCAGTGTCACATGATCCTTCAGAAATCATTCTCATATGCTGATTTATTACAGTAATATTTTTTGTAACCTGTGATACTTTTTTCAGGATTCTTTGATTAACAAGAACAGCATTTATTCAAAATAGAAATCTCTTGTAACAATATACGCTACTATTCAAAAGTAAAGATGTGTTAAATTAATAAAAAGTGATAATAAAGACTTTGATATTGTTAGAAAAGTTCTTTTTAACTTTATTCATGAAAGAATCCTGACACAAGTATCACAGGTCCCAAAAAATATTAAGCAGCACAACGGTTTCCAACATTGATAATAAATCAGCATATTACAATGATTTCTGGAGGATCATGTGACACTGAAGACTGGATTAATATATATATATATATATATATATGTGACCCTGCAGCACAAAAGCAGTGTTAAGTCGCTGGGGTATATTTGTAGCAATAACCAACAATACATTGTATAGGTCAAAATTATTATTTTTCTTTTATGCCAAAAATCATTAGAATATTAACTAAAGATCATGTTCCATGAAGATATTTTGTACATTTCCTACTGTAAATATATTAAAACTTAATTTTTGATTAGTAATATGCATTGCTAAGAACTTCATTTGAACAACTTTAAAGATGATTTTCTCAATATTTAGATTTTTTTGCACCCTCAGATTCCAGATTTTCAAATAGTTGCATCTCGGCCAAATATTGTCCTATCCTAACAAAACAAAAAAGCTTATTTATTCAGCTTTCAGATGATGTATAAATCTCAATTTTTAAAAAATGGACCCTTATGACTGGTTTTGTGGTCCAGGGTCACATATGTTAAGCAGCACAACTGATTCCAACATTGATAATAAATTAGCATACTAGAATGATTTCTGAAGGATCATGTGACATTAAAGACTGAAGTAATGATGCAGAAAATTCAGCTTTGCATCACAGGAATAAATTACTTTTTAAAGTACAAACCCTTTATTTTAAATAGTAATAATATTTTACAATATTATTGTTTTTTCTGTATTTTTGGTCAAATAAATCCAGCCTTGGCGAGCACAAGAGACTTCTTTAAAACACATTAAAAATCTTATTCATCCCAAACTTTTGAACAGCAGTGTGGTTAAAACAGGTCTAGTGTTACCTGGCAGTGCGCAAGCACATCTTCTCTCTGGGAAACTCCTTGGGTCCCTCAGAGCCGTCACACACTTGACTCTCCGTCTCCAGATACACATCCAGACACACACACAAGCGCTGGATCTGATTGGTCAGGAGCTGGAGACCCGGGCGTGGCCCCTGCAGCTCGGAGCGGAACACGTTCACCTCGCTCTCCATCGCCTGCGCATAAAGAGAATAATTACACCTGAGCAGCTGTGCACACGCTGCAGCTGTAAGGCTCTTACCCGCAGGTTATCATCAGTGCGCCCGCTGCGCTCTCCTTTCCAGTGCAGAGAGAAAGAGAAGAGCGGCGCGACCTCAGGGTAACGCGGGTTCATCACCACAGCGGCCAGCAGACGAGCTGAGAGAACCAAAGACAGAGTTATGTCATCAAACATTTCCATGACTGTGGAATTTATGATGCTCACGTCACTGAATCTCTGAAACGGTGTTACTTTAGCAATGTTTATACAATATTATAGTATTTATTCATATACTGAATACGTTTTTTGTTTTATTTAGCCTTAATAAAAAAAATAATTTTTTAACATGAAATTCTAAACGAAATAAAATAAATTTAATTTGAAGTACTACAATTACTAAACCTAAAGTTTAAAAAAATTTACTTTAGGTTTAGTAATTGTAGTACTTCAAATTAAATCTATTTTATTTCGTTTAGAATTTCATTGACAATACAACGGTGTTATTTTAATATAATAAATATGCTATTATAGTTAAGATTTTTAATTTGATTTTTTTAAATATATTTTTTGCTTTTAGTAATTTTATGTGCTTTTGTCCTATTTATTAGGTTTTTTAGTTCTATTTAGCTTTCATTTTTATTTCAGTAATTTTAGTAGTTTAACTTATTTTATTTTATTTAGTTGTCAATGCAACAGTATTATTTTAGTATTATTGATATACTAACTTTTGATCAAATTATGAATTTTAAGAATTCTGTTTTCATTTGAACCTTAATTAAATGTTTAGTAATTTTGTAGTGTTTTGCCATTTTTATTATTTATTTATTTTAAAGTTTTTGGTTTCAGTTTATTTAGTTTTACTAGCTGAAATAAAATAACTTTATATTTTAAAGCAATTAAATTTTTTAAGGTTTTAATCTGTCAACCTTTCAATGCAACATTCAATGCAAAAATGTTTACATTTTTCATCAAATATTAATACTTTATTTCAATTAACAAAACCTTTTAAATAGTTTTAATAGATTTTTAATAGTTTTAGTTAATAAAAAAACTGCTCGGAAAGATGTCCAAGACTTTGATTTGAGATACCTAGTAGCAAGTAAACGAGATATTACTGATTTCAGATTTACGTGCCACTCTAAACATCACATAAAAACTGTGGATGACCACTGAACATGTCAGTCAAATGGTCTCTTCCTGTCCAAGCGGGCGATTTTAGGCCAGAAGAAGC